CTATAGTGGATGTGCTAGAGTGGATGGGTCTAAAGATTTTCAACAAAGTAGTTGAAAACCTTTAGACCCAAGAAGGGTAGAGGCTGGGCCAAGAGGGACAGAGAGAGAGAAAGGAGAGAGGGATGAAGGGAGGGACAGAGAGAAACTGAGAGAGAGCCTGCACGCACCAGTGAGAAGCTATCCTGACTGAAGAACTGTATCCTGAGTTGTTCCTGATGCTGAACTGTAACTCATTACTTTCCTAATAAACCCCATAATTGTGAGTATAGTTTGTGAGTTCTGTGTGGCCATTATAATGAATTTCTGAACTCAGCAGAGAAGCAGAGAATGCCGTGGGCAGGACGGCTGATGTCAGAACTGGTAAGAGGTTGAAAGGGCAATATTTGACCTTTTCCTCATAGCAATCACCCTTGGACCGTTAATGCTGAGAATTCTCTCCTTGCCTTGTGAAGTTACAGGGAGGTCAGACACCCCCACTATGCTATTTTTACAAAGGGGATGAAGCCCAGTCAGAGACCCCTGGTGTGTGGGGAAGAGTCCAGCGTCTCCAGTGGGGCAGATATTTCTGGGTAGAAAGCTGTTGGGGAGAGCACAGAGACTGCTACAGGTGGAAGTCTGGTAGAAGATACACTTGGAGCCTTGGTAATACAGCAGTAATGCTGATGTCTTTTGTGTTTCTACTCCTTTGGGTGGTTCAATTCTCTTGAGACACCTCCTCCCCAATTTGAGACAATTTCTGAAGAGACTCACCTTGGGAATCATTTCCTTTATTAAGGCATCACTTGGACAGTACACGAACAGCACCAGCAAAAAGCACACACCCACATGAGAATAAATTATGGAATTCGTGTTTTAAAAAAATCTTCCGTAGACATTTAGAACTCAATGTCCCCCATCCAAGCATATCTAATGAGACCCAAGCGTCTTAATGCCAACATGTGCACACACACAGACACATAGGGGAGGCCTGTAAACAACAGCCAGCTCAGCAGCAAGCAAAGTGGACCCAGCTGTGCTCTCCCTGCAGCTTTGAAGGCAGATGCGTGCTTGGCACTCACCCGCCACCAACTCCCTGACTCCCTTGGGAGGTGTGGGTGTGAGGAAGCCAGAGCTGTTGTCCAGGACTGCAGTAGAGCACATCTCAGCTTTCAAAGACTACGCCTGCTGTCCTCTGGTCTGCCAAGCCCTTTCTGCTACTCCCAGAAGAATGAGTGAAGAAGGGGGTCCTTGGGGAAATCCACTGAACTTGCAGTCACATGAGCTGCATGCAGGTCCTGCATCAGTCAGTCTCTTGTGTGATCTCAACTATTATCTTGCTATGTGATATTGAGGAAGTTGACTCATTTATGTTCCTCAACTGTCAAAATCAGAATGGGAATATGTACTTCACAGGTTTATTACAAGAAATTACTGAAATTTGATATTGTCAAGTGCTGTCCCAGCTCAAGGTTCAAAAACTGATTTCTTTCCTGACGTCTCCCCAATGATGACTCCATTTTTACCTTTTTAAGTTTTCCATTTTCTTTATGTATTAATTGGTGGGCATGTAACCCTAATGGTACCCATAGTTTTTTTCTTTTTAAATTATTTTGTTGTGGAGAATATACACAGCAAAAACATACATCGACAGAACCACATCCAGATCTCCAGAGATGAGAAATCTCCACTTAAAAGGATGAGCAGACCAGCCTAGAGCAGCTAGCAGAATAAAAGATACCTCTTAAAAGAAAGACCTGCAGGAAAAATGGAGGCAGATGGGCTGTTACTATAAGAACAAACAAATCGCTTCCCTAGGAAACATCAAGGCAAGTGGCCAGGTCCTCTCAACGCAAACCCCCTTCCAAGACTAAGACTCAATGGAAATGCACGCTCTGATTGGTGACCACACACATCACCGATGGGGGGAAGAGGGGTAAAAGCAGTAATGAAGTGGCAAGCTAAGCCCTACAATGTTCAGTGGACTTCTGTGGACCCAGTTGGGGACCTGGGGACTCTTGGGCCCAGAGTCAGTGGCGTGGCCACGGAGAACTCAAGAGGAGAGTGGAGCTACAGGCTGACGGGAAGAGAGGACATATACACAGGAGCGCCCACACTTGCAGGTGATATACACGTGACCTGGACCGAATGACTGGATGTTTGGAGCTCAACCAGGAGAGGAAAGAACAGGGGGGGAAAAAAAAGAATGAGCTGATACAGTCAGATGAACTTGACCTATACCTATGGAGCAGTGACTCAAAAGAGGGAACAAATCCTCACAGCAAGAAACATTCACACACTCCCACACACAGAGAGTGGATGGAGAAGGGCAGCTTGGACATTGGATATTCAAATTGGGAGGGGGGGACTACAAAGGCAAGAAGTGACTGGCTTACAAGCTTTCAAGAGGGAACCTGGTGCTAGGGAGCATGGTGGAAGGCAGAATCTCCAGTAGGTACTATTCAATCTGTCTGGGCGGAGCTGATGAAAGGAGATACAGATGGGTAACTCGTGATACTACAGTGAATAATGTTTATCAGGACGGACTATGAGGGTTGGAAATGCAAAGGTAGAAGTTTTGTAACAAGGAAGGGAGTGATTAATTCTCCAGGATAGGAGTGGAGGCCTCCGGGACCATCAATAGAGAAGAGCCGAGAGCGGGACCCTACCCAGAGAAAGAGAGATGCCTGAGATAGAGACAGAGATGATGACATGGAGTGATGAAGCGACTGGGACTGGGGACTTTGGACCCAGAAAGGGAAAGGGGCTGTGGGCCGAAATGAAGTGTAGGGGGCGGGTCTCTGGAATATACCCTTTGGGTGGTTGAGGATGCATGGAGGGGATTGGAACCATGGCAATGAGATGATATATGATGGAATGAATGTAAAACTAAAGTTCTCCCATGTAAACTATCATATAATCCACAAAAATACATTAAAAAAAAAAAAAAAGAATAAATACAAAATGTGCTTTGGCAAAAAAAAAGAGGGAACCTAGATCCAGAGGGTCTGGAGGAAGGTAGAATCTCCAGTGAGTAGTATTCAATCTGACTAGGTGGGGTTGATGCAATGAAATGCAGACAGGTCTCTTGTGATACAATATTGAATAATTGTTATCAAGACTGATTGTGAGGGTCGGAAATGTAAAGGTAGACATTTTATAGCAAGGAGGGGAGTGATTAACTTTTCAGTCAAGGAGCGGAGGTCCCTAGGACCATCAAGGGAGAAGAGCAGAGAGGGGGACCCTACCCAGAGAAGCAGTGATAGCTGAAATGGAGCCAGAGATGATGACGTGGAGCGATGGAGCAGCTGAAGACTTCAGATCCAGAGAGAGAGAGAGCGACTGTGTGCTGAAGACCTGGGGGGTACGGGTGAAGGATTGCATGGAGGGGATCGTAACCATGGCAATGTGACGATATACGATGGAATGAATGTAAAACTAATGTTCTCCCATGTAAACTATCACATAATTCACAATAAAACATTTAAGAAAAAACAAAACAAAACCATACATCGATTCAACAGTTTCTACATGAACTCTTTAGTGACACTGATCACATTCTCAGAGTTGTGGAACTATTACCACCTTCTTCTGAGTTGTTCCTCCATCATTAATGTAAGCTCACCACCTCTTATGGTTCCTAATCTATAGTTGCTGTGATCAGTTTGATTCCATATAAAACTCACTGCCACCGTGTCCATTATAACCCATAGAAACCCAATGGAGGGTTTCCAAGCCTTTCTATCTTTACAGGAGCAGACCACCTCATCTTTCTTCTGTGGAATGGCTTGTGGTTTTGAAACAGTGACCTGGCAGTTAGCAGTCCAATGCTTACCCTACAGCATCACCAGGGCTCCTTAATGTTGTTGTTAAGTGCCATCGAGTTGGTTCCGACCCATAGTAACCCTGAACAGGGTTTCTGAGGCTGTAAATCTTTATGGGAGCAGAAAGCCTCACCTTTCTCCCGCAGAGCAGCTGGTAGTTTTGAATTGCTGACCATGCGGTTCACAGGCCAATTCGTAACCACTACGCTACCAGAGCTCCTTAGGGCTCCTTAATAGATAGTTCTTAAAAGAGTATAATGCTTAATGCAGACAGTTTTTACTAGTTAAGCTTGGTTTGGTTTTAAGGAGACTTCAGGGGATATTTTTGGATTAAAGATGATCTCAGGGCAAAAGTTTCAGAGGTTTATACAACCTTCATGGCTCCAGGAAGCCTAGAGTTCATGACCAAAGCACCTCTTGATTACAAGAGTCTCCCTTAACCCTACAGAGATTGCCAATGTTAGATTCCTTTCAATTCTAAATGTTCAAATCTATGATCACTGACTGCCCACTGGGAGAGTCAAGGGGATGGTCTTCAGGAACCATCAAGCCCAGGAAAGAGATCTGGGGACCCTGAGGGCAAGTGGAGACCCTGACTGTCTTAGGAGCCACACTTGTGGAAAAACATGAATAAGAAAGTGATGTAGAGGTGGCTCAGAGCTGTATCTGGTCAGAATCTTGATTCTAGGGGAAGTGTTGTACACACTCTTAAGCAGAAACAAAACCACCCTCTTTCAAGATTAACGAGGTTCAAGGGTGCAGGAAGTTTATCTTCCCAACAAGTTCATTCACCAGAAGGCCAGTTTGATGAGTCACAGTCCATAATTCTAGTTCTGCAGAAAATTTCCTTCCATCTCTCCATCTATCTGCCCATGTACTCATCCATGTGTTATATATGAAAAGTTTTGTAGAATGCACAGGACAGAAAACCCTACGTGCTCACTCAGCATCTTTTATCCAAAGAGTCAGTATCTTCTTAGTCACTCAACTGGGGTTTTTTACAGTAATGCTGTGAGGTAGTAACAAGACAGGCAATACCTCTCTTTTTACAGAATAAGAAATGCTCAAGGTAACACAGTGAAGAGGTGGGATGTAGTAAGGCCCAAATGCTCCCCTAAAGGCTGGAGGTTGACTCTTTTCCTGAAGCCTTGGTTCAGCTTCTGTGGAACTGGTCTGAGTCCACACCATCTCTGCTGCTTTTCACACCAGGGTGGGTTTCAAGTCATCTTTAAAGTTCACGATAGGCTTTGAACGGGCCCACAGTTTTTCCCAGGAAGCCTGGCCCGCAGCAGGCTCTGGGTCAGTGTCTGATGTGCCACTGTCACTGGAGTTAGAGGAGCTCTGGAAGCAGATTTCACAGTAGGGTCGGTGGCAGCGGCAGAAGAACTCATCTGAGCTGCTGGAGTCAGTGTCAAGGTAACTGCAGGGAGAAGACAGCGAGGGGTAGGCTGGGGATTTGGGAGGCTGCAGCTGCTGCTGCTCAGGCAGGTCTGGTGAGGTTGTGAGTAGATGTGGGGAGGAGAGTCTTACTCCGTGGCTCCCTCTAGCCCTCTGGCGCTCAGTCTGACATTGGTTACTACTCTCTAGGTTACCTGCCCTGTTATGAGGATCTGGGAGTGGTAGTAAAGGCTTCCTGGAAGTGGGCCTTGGGACCCTGGGGTGAAGAGTTCGATGGGTCATGCTATGGTTGTCCACATTTGGCCCACTCAGTCTACTCTGTGCCTCAGAAACAGTCCTGTTTGCCTGGCGCCACACATTTGAGGTCACAGAACCAAGAAAGTGCGAGGGAGCCTGCAGCACTGCCTTCCTTCTTCTCACCATATATGGGCTGAAGCCCAACTCCTTGGGGAAGGCCATCTTCTGGGGGAGTGGGGCAGCGCTGCTCTTGAAAAGCTGCTGGGGACAAGAGGAGGAGAAGGGGAGTGGAGTCTCAGGGCCCAGGCTCAGATCTTGTAACACTTCCTGAAGCTTCTTCCTGATTACTGTATTGACCCTTGACAGCCGCTCTTGTGGCTCCTCTGAGTTCTCTGGCTGTCTTTGTCTATGGAGAGCAGAGACTTCACCTGGTATGAGATTCAGACTGGGGACTATGGGTACCTGGCTTCCCCCTTCAGGGCACCCACTTTGCTCAACCCTCGGCTTCTGGCTACAGCCTAAGTTTAAATGATCAGAAAAGTCTTTTAAGTCAGATGACTTCTCTTTCTGCCCTGGGGAAGGGCTGAGGTCCTCCTTCACAGGCCCCTTGAGGCTTTGTATACTTGAAGAAGGCACTGAGGTACTCTGACAGTCCTGGGCAGCTGGGCTGGAATCATTCTGGGAGTCAGAGAGGCCTCCCGAGGGCCCCTGCGCTGTCATGCTGTGACCCGAGGCTGCAGCCTGGATACCTGTGCTCGGGGAGGAGGCACGTGCAACAGCCCACTCTGGGGGAGCACAGGGGCCCTCTGATGACATCAGCCTCACTAGTTTCTCTTTGGCGTTGTTTACCTGTTCCTGCAGGTTTTCAATCACAGCATTCTTCTGTAAAAGAAAAGCAAAATGTCAACAAGACACACTACTGAGATTGTCACAGTGTCTCCTATGATGGACAAGCAGGGCATCACCAGACCTTGGTTTAAATTCTGGTCCTTCCCTATTAGCTAGGTGACTGTAGGCTCTGAGAGGTACTTCAGAGAGTGCAATGAGCTTATGATGCAAAGTACTTAGCACAATAACTGGTAAATACAGCTCGATAAAGGTATGATCTTCATCTCCCTCTTCTGTCCTCAGACTGTGTGGCACTGTCAGTGAGAAGAGGGCTTGGGAGGCACTACTGGCTTGCACCTTTCACCTTTCTCCAGGACTGAGATGGTCAGGTCATTCTGTGAGATATCAGTCTGAATCATGTTGGGGATGGTCCAACTCTAGCTTTATCATAATTCTGCAAAATAAACATGAATTTGAGGCATACTTCAAGGAGATGAACACATGGAGAAACAAGTATGTTGTCTCTTGCTAAATAGCCTAGCAAGTCTTTAGGTGGCAAAACAGTTTGCAATCATTTACTAACCTAAGTCTATGGGCAAAATATTGAACAGCACAGGAAGCATCAAAGGAAGATGAAAGGAATACACAGTCACCATACCAGTGAAAGAGAATTAGTTGATGTTCATTCATTTCAAGAAGTACTATATGATCAAGAAGTGATGGTACTGAAGTAAGATGTCCAAGTTGCACTGAAGGAATTGGTGAAAAACAAGGCTCTAGAAACTGACAGAATATAAATTGAAATGTTTCAGTAAGCTGATGTAGCACTGGAGGTGGTCACTCATCTAGGCCAAGAAATTTTGGAAGACAGCTACCCGGCCAACTGATTTGAAGAGATCCATATTTATGCCCATTCCAGGGAGGTGACACAAAGGAATGCAGAAACAATTAAACAATATTAATATTACATACAAGTAAATTTTTGCTGAAGATAATTTAAAAACTATTTCAGCAGTACATCAAGAGGAAGCTGCTAGAAATTCAAACTGGCTTTAGAAGAGGGTATGAAACTAGGGATTTCATTACTTACATCAGATGAATCTTGGCTGAAAGCAGAGAATATCAGAAAGATGTTTACTTGTGCTTTATTGACTAAGAAAAGGCTTTCAACTGTGTGGATCATAAACTATAGGCAACACTACGAAGAATGGATATTCCTGAACACTTAATTGTGCTCATGAGGAATCTGTACAGCATAGACTAAGAGGTAGTCATATGAATGGAACAGGGGGTTTCTGAATGGCTTAAGATCAGGAAAGCTGTGCGTTAGAGTTGTTAGAGTTGTGTTCTTTTACTATTCTTATGCAAACTGCATGCTGAGCAAATAATCTGAGAAACTGGATTACATGAAGAGGAACATGGCATCAGGACTGGAGAAAGAGTCATTATCCTGTGATATGTAGGTGATACATCTTGCTTGCTGCTTTAAGTGAAGAGGACTTGAAATACTTACTGATAAAGATCAAAGATTTCAGTATGGATTGCACCTCACTGTAAAGAAAACAGCATTCTTACAATAAATACAATCATAATCAACAAAAGACTGAATTTGTTAATACCCAAAGACCAAAAGCATTGTGGGATGACATCAAGAACATCATACAGGAAGAAAGCAAAAGGTCATTAAGAAGACAAGAAAGAAGAAAAATAACAAAATGGATGTTGGAAGAGACTCTGAAACTTGTTCTTCAGCATAAGAGATGCTAAAGCAAAAGGAAAAAAATGAGGTGATAAAGAGCTGAACAGAAAATTTTAAATGGCAGCTCAAGAAGACAAAATCAAGTATTAAAATGAAATACGCAAAGACCTGGAGTTAGAAAACCAAAAGGGAAGAACATGCTCAGTATTTCTCAAGCTGAAAGAACTGAAGAAAACATCCAAACCTCAACTTGCAATATTGAAGGTGTGAAGTCGTAAGATAAGCACTGGACCACAAAGTCAATGTGAACCACAAAGTTGGTGGTTCAAATTTACCAGTCTCTCCCCAGAAACCCTATGAGTTGGAACTAACTTGATGGCATTTGTTGTTGTTGTTGTTATGTGCCGTGGAGTCGGTTCCGACTCATAGCGACCCTGCACAGGGTTTCCGAGGCTGTTAATCTTTACGGGAGCAGAACGCCTCATCTTTCTCCCGTGGAACCGCTGGTAGTTTCGAACTGCTGACCTTACAGTTCACAGCCCGATTCGTAACCACTACGCTACCAGAGCTCCATGGGCAAAAAATAGAGTAATACAAAAAGCATCAAAATGTGATGGAAGGAATACAGAGAGTCTCTGTACCAAAAAGAAATGTTCAGTGCTCACACATTTCAAGAGGTAGCATATGATCAAGGGTCAACGGTACCCAGAACTTCTGGGAGAACAGAAAATCTTAATGAAAGAAAGACCTGCAGAAAAAAATCAGACTGTTGGGCTCTTAGAATATCAAGCAAGCTGTTTGCTTTGGAAGCATCAAGACAAGAAAAGTTAGCCCATCAGGATAAACCCATCTTCTAAGACTAAAATTCAAAGGGAACCCACAAGCAGTCTAGTATGCTTGCTGGTGACCACCTGAGTCTACTTGTGAATGGAAGTGAGGAAAATGCAGCAATGAAGACATGGGCCGAGTTTGGCCATGTTCCACTGACAGCCGTTGACCTCAAGATGAAAGAGAAGAGGAAGCCTGGCTGGTCTGAAGTTTACTGAGATGTGTGAACTCCCGAGCCCATGGCCACTGACCTAGCCACTGGGGGCTAGAGCCAAGAGTGAAGTGGCTAGCTGGTCTGCAACGCAAGGAGGTGTGCATGACCTCCTAAACTTGCAGCTAGTATCCATTTGACCTAAATTGGATGGCTAGCTGACCAGAACTTATGAAGATATTGTGAACAAGTATAAACTGCTACAGTTTGATGAACCGGACCTTTGCTTATAGATTTAGTTGCTCAAAATTTCAACTGGAATGGAATATTTTTCATCTCAAGGGACAACTTGTTTCCTCAGTGCACTGGGTTTATAGAAAGGCAATCTAGAACGGGCTATCAAAAATGGAGGTTATAAATGCACAAAATGGCTGGCTTATAAGCTTTCTTGAGTATGCTTTGTTTCAGAATGAGGGGGCTAATGTAGAATCCCCACTGAATAATTTCCCTCTTTTCCAGATGGATCTGGTGAAAGGGGATGAGGGATGATGGTGATAGGATTTTATGATTCAGCTGTGAGTAATTGTTAGCAGGATTAATTGTGATTGTCACTATTGTAATTATAGAAGATGTGTAACTATAAGTGGAGCTTAGTTTATCTTTCATTTCAGGAACAGAAGTTCCCAGAACCATCAAGAAGAAAGAGCATGAGTGGAGCATGAGATCCTACCTAGAAAAGTGGCAACAGCGGAGATCGTAGCAGAGGTGATGGCCTGGTGAGATAGACCAGCTGCGGACTCCAGGCCCATGGACTGAGTAAGGCTTTGTACCTTCGGGCAGGAGACTGGCATGCAGAATATGCCTTTAGGGAATTTGAAAGAAATATTTTGGTTTTGCTTTGCAGGTATACATTACATATTTTTGTTTTGTTCACTTGTGAACTATAAGATATAAAAGGGAAGCCACAGGGAGGAAGTAGGAAAACTGCTATTGCAGGGAATGGGTTGTAATCATTGAGATGAAAGAAAGTGTGTAATATGTTGAATGAAAGCTTATAATCTTGCCTGTTAACCTTCATTAAATTCACAATAAAAAGTTAAAAAGAAAAAAAGCCAATGGCATATAAGGAAGAAATCTAAGGTGCACTGAAGGCATTGGCAAAGAACAAGGTTTCAGGAATTGATGAAATACAAATTGCAATCTTTCAACAAACTGATGCAGCACTGGAGGCACTCACTCATTGATGCCAAGAATTATGCAAGACAGCTACCTGGTCAACCAATTGGAAGAAGTCAATATTTGTGCCCATTCCAAAGACAGGTGACCCAACAAAATGTGGAAATTTTCAGACAATATCATTCATATCATCTGTTGTTGTTAAGTGCCCTCCAGTCAGTTTCAACTCATAGTAACCCTGTATAACATTCCCAAGGAGGGTCTGGTGAGTTCGAACCACTAACTTTGTGGGTCAAACCGATCTTGCAGTCCAGAACTTTATTCCACAGTGCCACACTAGGACTCCATTCATATCACATGCAAGTAAAATTCTACTAAAGATATTTCAAATAGTAGCTACAACAGTTCATTGACAGGGAAGTGTCAGAGGTGCAAGCCGGATTCAGATGAGGACGTGGAATCAGGAATTTCACTGCTGATGTTAGATTGATCTTGGTTGGAAGCAAAGAAGGTCAGAAAGATGTGTACCTGTGCTTTATTGACTATACAGAGCCTTTAGAGTGTGAGGATAATGAGAAGCTATGAATAACATCGTGAAGAACAGATATTCCGGAATACTTAATTGTGCTCATGATGATCTTATACATAGACCATGAGGCAGTCATTCAAACAGAACAAGGGGACACTGAATAGTTTAAGACCAGGAAAGGTGTGTGCCAGGATTGTATTCTTTCATCATACTAATTCAATCTGTATACTGAGCAAATAATCTGAGAAGCTGGATTATATGAAGAAGAACATGGCATCAGGATTGGAGGAACACTCATAAATAACCTGTGATATGCAGATGATACCACCTTGCTTGCTGAAAGCAAAGAGGGCTTAAAATACTTATTGATACAGGTCAAAGACCACAGTCTTCAGTATAGGTTGCACCTCACTGTAAAGAAAACAAAAATTCTCACCATTGCACCAATAAATAACATCAAGGTAAATACAGAAAAGAGTGAAGTTGTCAAAGACTACATTTTGACAACGGAAGCAACAGTCAATTCACGGAAGCAACAGTCAAGGAATCAAATGACTTATTGCATTTGGCAAATCTGCACATGATCTCTTTAAAGTGTTCAACAGCAAAGCTGTCAGTTTGAAGACTAAGGTGTGCCTGACCCAAGTCATGGAATTTCCAATGGCCTCATA